TCGGCAAATACGGAGATACCGGTTCTTATTAAGGGGTATATTGGCATTTAAAAGACACAATTAAGATAAATCCCGCCCCGTGAGGGAGCGGCTTACAAAGGAATCCATCGGTGCCGCTTCTTTCGGCGCATTTTCTCTTGCTAAGTAACTTTTCAGGGGCGATTTCGCTTCTTGTCGGCCAATTGTAGTCGTAGACCTACCGTCGTGCTTCGCGGGGCCAATTAGGCCTCGCGAGATCGAAAGCCAGCAATCGAAAAGCCACTGCCACTTTTTCGACCATGTTCCTTTTATGTCGCGAGTCGCCTCATTATTTGATACACTTCCGTATCGGCCTCCTACATTTGGGCCACTTCGCCGCCATTTTGCTTTCGCGAAGCCATCCAGCCTGCCGAAGAGATTCGAGTCGTTTATTGAGATCGCTTGACTTGGGGGAAAAAACCTTAATTGCCATCAGTATTTCTGTTTAAATCATTTCCCCTATTTATTCTCTTGTCCCCAGGTACTGGTAACGATATTTCCAATTTTTTATACGTTTTATCGAGGACGGCAGAAATCCTTCCCATTGTTGGCGTCGCCCTGACTCCCATTCAACCTCGGATGACGAGGAAAAGAAAGCGATCGGCACTTTTCGCCAACAGGTTGAGCTCGATTGTCACCTGTGAAGGGTGCTTAAGCCATGGGGCACCCTTAAAATCCGGCCCACTCTGGGACTAATCCAAACAAATAGCAGGGCCGCGACAGGGGCGCCATTGTTGGCGGAAAATATGAAAGAGAGGGTCACGGTTGTAAGTTACGTTGGCCCAACTGCAACAATGGGGCGGCGGGAGTGGAAAGCACTGTTCAACAGGTTACCGCCGTTTATTGTTACCCGCAATGGCCCATCCGAGAATGATCTAATCCACTTTTCGATACCTACTTATTCGTTGAAATGGATCGCTGTTACGGCACCAATAAGCGACGTCAATTTCCTTATAAACAGGTATCGTCCGCTATGTTTCATTCATTCCTGAAATGCGTAGAGAAAAGTCAATTGCTTGCGATATTTTATATAAACTGACACGCGTGGGGAATATTTTTAACCGTATAAATTTTTCTATTGTTAATGCAATGATGCACTTAGGACGTGAAGGGAGCTCACATACGCACGCTCTGGAGCTTGGGAAATATGTTTGGGCACGCATATAATGTACACATGGGCGGATACATATGTAAGAGCTCTTTCTGGTGGGTTTGACTCCTTAAGGATCCACCTTATCGCGGCACGTGCTTACACCTGCTCTTCCTCTCCCTACCTTCATTTATTACCTTCATTACCTACTCGCCTCCTGTGCAGGCGCGTCCTCAAGTTGCGATGCTAATTCCGGCCATTTTTTCTCTCCCCTTAGAACTGGCCTTAAGAGCTTAATGCGTTTCGTGGCTGCAGGCGTCTATGCGGAAAGGAGTATCAGCAGGGGGAACTTAAACGATAGTGATTTGTCACACTCGCGATGTGAATTAACCATCGGCAGCGCCTAAACTACTTTTCGGAGGCCCGCGGCCAATTTCGCGTCGTTGCAAGCGATCTCTCGTGCCTTTTTTTGTTTTTTCTCTTTCACTCGTTATTCTGGAAGGCATTACGCGGTGCTGGTTATTCATTCTGAGACATTTGAAACCGACTTTCGCTATCTTGAGAGTCCGTATTTATCGCTGATTAGAACAAATCACGGCGGCGTAAACTGAACCGTCTCGATTACGGCTTCATGGAAACGGAGACGGAGGTGGAATACCACAATGTGGAAGTGGCGATCGCAGCGCCACCGCGGGAAACCCTGAAATTCGCGCGAGTACTTCGCGCCAATCATAAGGATTACCGCATACCGGGAAGCATAATGGCGGACGGGCCCCTCGCGGTGCGTAATAAACGGGAGCATTGATTTCCAATCGTCGCTCGCTTCTTCGAACTTGCAAATTGGCAGCGCGTCGAGCGCCCTGTTGTTCCAAAATCGAGGGGGAAAAAGAAAAGAGACGAGCCAATTTAAATCGCGCCCGGAGCGCGCCCGGGATCTGGGCCACCATGTTCCGAGGCGCCAATTTTGAATGACTTTAGGCGCTGCCAGTCTTTAAGGGGAAAGTACTGACTTGATTAAAAAGACGACACTAACATCGGGATCTTGAAATTTATTTTCATTCATCGGATTAGAAGTCAATGATATATCTTTTCCATGATCTGGGTCCATCGGGCAACTTCTTTTCTCTGAAAATTATTGACAGATTTATAGAGAATAGAAATATAAATTATTGCAGGACTTTTGTTCAAAGTTGAAGGTTTATTCATAGTCGAGGATGTTCGGGTTTCACGTTTTTCAGTGAATGAATGTTCTGTCGGCCTTATGGCACTCTTAATCAATGTTATAAGCAGAATGAAAGTATCGCACAATTGTAACACGCGACGGACTTCGTTGAGTTTCTTTAGCGGTGCAATTGCGTAGCTTTATGTCGAACATAACCTATATCGCGACGGATGTGGTCGCTTAAGGAACGATCGGTCTGTCCTCGCGATACCAGACCGCAAGTGAACGACGTCCAATTTCCGCCGGTTTCCCCAATTTTCGGCCATTCAGCGGTTCGTCCCGTTTATTAACATAACAAAACCGAATCGGGCCATTTCTCGGTCGACTTGTCGATCTGACCGCCTTAAAGGCCGTAAATAAGGCCGCGTATAAATAATATATAAAGAAACGTCCATCTTCCCACCTCGGGAGAAATCTGCATAGGGTTCTTAAGGATTTCCCTCGGTCTTTCATGGAGAAACAGAAAGAAGCCAACGGGCCATCCAGGGAACCTGTTCGATCGTTAGGACATCCATTCAAGTCCCTGCATATTTCTCTAATAATTTATTCGACCCATTATATCTGGAGCTTCCCCAAGCGCAGCATTAATTCCCGTCCCCTTTCCTTTCTCCCGATTTCCATATCTTCGTGGATTTTCGTTTCTTCCGAAGAGTTGACACAAGATGGCGCGCGTCGCTGCGAAGCATAATGGCGGTCGTTACATATGGAAATGGCGGGAAAATGCCACCTCGGGATTCGTTTCGGAGTTTCCTTTAAAGACGTCTTTGTTCCGTTCGCGAAACTAGATTTCGTGGAACGGTATACTCGTGCCCCATCCCTTTTAATTTCAGTTGGCGTACGTGTTAATTTAAATTATCTTAAGGGCATGCGACGCCAACGGAAAGCGCGGCAATTTTAAAATCCTGGGTGACGTCCACCTGCCGTTTAAGTAGCGGACCAATGGCGTTGTTTCGGGCCAACCGATTTCCTGATTTACGCGGATTTACAGCCGACAGGTGGCGCGGTTACGCGGAAAAGGGCCCTAAATTATTGGATCGCCTAATGGAAGATAAAATTTCGAATTAATTGCCGCGAGATACGATCGCGCCTTCGAATCGACGATTCGATCGCTCTTAGCGCGGCTATCGGCTCGCCGATCGGGCCGGGCTCTCTTAAAGGACTTTTCTAAATATTCGTAATCTGCTTTGGGAGAGCCATAAAGGCGGATTTCGAGACGCGTCGAGTAAATCGAGATATCTCGAGGCGGAATCGAGAGCCACCAGCCGCGAGAGAGGTGAACGATCGATCGAACGCGGAACCAGTTTTCGGGTGGATCCTTAACCTGACCCAATTACGCCCTGGTGGACCACCGGGTACTCCCATTTTTTTTTTCTCTCAAAAAGAAAAATGTCTCGAGGACGGAATAACGTGCATAAAACCAAGAAGCAATCATTTGCGAGTATAGGCGAAAATATCTGACACGAAGTGCGAGACGGTTTCAAGTTCTATTCGTAAAATGGAATGCCCATTTTGTAAGCTCGCGGGCGCCATCTTTAATTCCACTTATATGGCTGTTTTACTCAACTAGAAATATTCTGATCTCTCTCGAGGACGGAATAACGTACATAAAACCAAGGAGCACTCATTCGCGAGTGTGGGCAAAAATATCTGACACGAAGTGCGAGTCGGTTCCAAGTTCTGTCCGCAAAATGGAATTCCCACGCCGTAAGCTCGCGGGCGCCATTTTTAATTCCACTTATGTCGCTGCTTTACTCAACTAGACATTTTCCGATCTTTGTAGCCGAGACACGGCATCTAAAACAGTCGCAAAGGGTTGAGCGAAGTTCAAGTGCTTGTATGCTTCGAGTTATGATTTATGCAGCGACCTGGAAGTCTCGCAAGTTCGAGGTATCGATTCAAACTCATGCGGCCAGCTCGTCGTTAATCTACAACACTGGCCCTTAACCGGTGGCCATTGATCGAACATCAGAATGTCTTTAAAAATATTCCACGATTTGACGATTTGCGAATTGTCTCACCTTATTTCACAATTTTCCCGAACAGCTTGTTATTGGATGACTATTAATAGGGAGATTCTTCTCATTAAGGGCGTTCCATGTCAGCTCGACGATTTCACTTACCACGTATTAGCTAATGGTGTTTAAGGTTGAAACGTTCCCCCATCGGATCAAGCAATCTCATTGAAAGAAATTGTTGCAAACGATAGGGCAGAAGAAGACGTGGGTGGTAGTTTGCGATTTTTTTATTTATTGCCCACCGACGTCCCGTGAATTTATAGGTGGAAAGGGAAGCGTCTTAAAGGGGGCCTCACACCGAAGAATGACGATCTTTCTTCCGGCCACTACAAGGCGGCAGTCATTGAGTAAATTACAGGGCTCCGTAACGCACCCTCGTTAACCAGTCGACGAGCTCCATAGATCTTTTCCTCTGCTCTCCTTCCTTTATTTCCCGGTTTCCTCGTTTTTCCTACATTCTTGCGCTTATTCTTTCAGTACTGTAAGTACTCGCGGCAAGTTAGGACTTAGGGGTGGGAACGTGGGATAAAACGGAACAGGCAATTCTAATCGCTCCTTCCGACCTAACCTCAAATAACGAGAAGCCTGAATTGACGGCGAATGAAAGTAACCCAGCGCGTGTAAGAAAACAATTTATTTATTCAATATCCTCTTCAGCAATAATAAACATATTTTTTGGTTTTACCGATTAACACGAATCATCTCTTTTCTCTCTCTCTCCTCTCTCTCACGCTTCTCCGCTCTCTTGGCATACAATCTTCCGCATTATTTCTTTTCTATCCTTTCCTACACTCACGCATTCGTCTTCTTTTATCGCAAGCACACGTATCCTTAAAACTACTGCCTAATTATCCTTTGTCTTTATTAAACCCTACTTTACGTTACACTTATGATTAATCGTCCGTTCTTTGAGCCTCACTGGACCCCAGTACTTGTGATCCTCATTTACTGTTTTGATTATCGAGATCCCGCCATTTCGATGGAAATCATAGCACTCGGTGCTCTTATGTGATACCATGACTTTCGTAGTACGATGAAAAGTCTTTCTCGCCAAGATGGCGGCACTGGCGCCATCTCGATCGCCTTAAGGGACCTCCCGAAATGGAGCTTATAAATATCACGTCGAAAATGTTGCTCCAATCTTTTCTTTAGAAATATTCTGAAATCCCGCAACCTGTCTCTTCCGTTTGCAGCGTCCATTATCGGTAGATCCCTTTTGAAATTCTTACAACCCTTATAATTTACTATCGTAATGGTATTCGTGCAATTTCGTACACTTTAAGGTACGTGGATTCGAGCAATCGGTGGAATTCGGATTTTCGCGGAAAGGAAAGCGCGAGCCTCCCCCTCGGGGTGAATTTTCGAGGGTTAAAAATCGAGAAGTCGCAATGGAAAATCCAAATTCGATTCACTAACTGGTCGAGCCCGTCTTTACTAATCTATCTTTGGTCCTCTAGCCGCTATGATTCTTTGCCAGACGTTAAATTTCGTAAAATTAACTCTGTCTCGTCCTTTCCCTCTTTCTCTTTCTCTTTCCTCCACCCTTAACGCAACTCTTTGTACAATAGAAACATCGTCAAAAACCGCAATCCTTCCGAAAGTGAATTATTCCTTAAATTTCGAGAGGTAAAGATAAAAGTCGAATAACATATGTACATGCAAGAAGAAAAGAATACTCCCTTTAAAATTATTCCAAAACGTGGAGTGAATCGGGAGAACTTCTTTTCGAGGTTAGGTCTCGCTTATCCGCGGCAAAGACAAGAGGAAGAAAAAGAAGGCCCATGAAAGACCAGTCATTGACAATGAGCGATCTTGTACACCGGTGCCAGGGACCGCGGTCCGTCTCCTAATGTCTACCTCTAAATCCTAACAAACGAATCTAATTACACGTAATTACTGCAGAATTAACAGCACGTCGTATACGGCTTAGCGCGCTCGTTTCTTAGCCTCCCGCCAGAGGGAGGCAGCTTTGGCTTCGACGGACTATACACGTAATTCGAATTAACAACGCCTGCAACATACCGCGATACGGATTATATATATATATTTCATATATATAATATCGTATAAATGTGTATCTTATACATTGTGCACAACATGTATATTGTGCGCGTTCGGTCGGCGGATTCGGTGTACGCGGCGATAACGCCTAATTTCCCGAAATTGCGAATTATATTCGTTATCGGCGCGTACTCCACGAGCGCGACTATGGTAATAAGTACACTTACGAATACACGAATCAGGTATGCGGTGACACCGATAAAAGGCACATTTAGACACTCTGGATGCAGGTACGAGGCAATTTACAGTGGCGCGAATTAGCCACGAGAGATGCCACGCTTTGCGGTACAATAATCAGACTGTAAAGCCAGAATTAGTTGGCGAGGAGAGGTTAAGGTGGCGTGAAAGAGACGCCTAAAGGCCCTCATTTATGCAACTTTTTCCGAGTGTACCGAATCGTTTTAAATTTTACCGCCTGAATGTGGGGCTTTTAAAGAAGGTTTTGATGCCCATGAAACTCCATTTAAAACGTATGTCTATAAGCCATTTTAAAAATCGCTATACTAAATGAAACTCCACGAGTGTCAGAACCTTCCTCGCTAACCAATATATTCACGGGGTCAATTTTTAAACAATTCGATGCACCCAGTTAGGAGAAAAGTTTCATAAACGCGACCTCTCGGATGCCCCTTTCACATCACCTTAATGCCCACCACTGTACACCCCGTGTTTTTTCTTTGGACAATAGAACAGGAAATGCACAGTCGCGCGAAATAATCTCCACGTGGTCCAGCAATTATCAGATTGCTTTTTCGGATAAAACGAAAGTTCCGATGCGGCGCGTTAATCGCCGCGCCACTGTATATCGCGTCGCCCGTTTTTTCTTTTTTACATTTACGTATAAATATTCATGGTCATAAAATGGACGGTTTCGCGATCGCCGCAACGTCGCTCGGCGATGAGACTCTCTCCTTATACGGGGAGAAATTATATCAGGAAGGGGGGGGGCAAGGCGTTTACCGGAAATCCTTAATCGAGCCTCGAAAGATCGAGATCGATTCGTGAGAGCCGAAAAGAAAAATCCGCCCTCAAATCGATATATCTCTCCCCCCGTTAAACCATAATTAACGGAACGAATGACCAGTTTTCTGATTCAATTCTTCTCGTCGATTATAATACAATCTACGATACGGACCTTGAGATTACTTAATCATTTTACAAGTTTTCGTTCGGCGTCATTTGAAGTTTCTTCTCGTGCAGTCGAAACTGGTCGGTTTTTGTTTCCAGGTTTTAAATTTGCCGCGCGGTGGTCCACAGGTCACGTGCTTCGGTGTCGGCTACTCGGAACGCTCGAGCGCGCTCCAGACTCACGCTCATTGGTCCGTTAATCTCAGCTACCACCAGGTGGCGGCGCGGGGTGGTAACTCGAGGGCGCCGAGGGCGAAGCGTGCCGAATGCCACCTTGCGGCTGAACTTGAAGTGAGCGATAGTCGAGTGCAGGTGCGGCGGGATGCTGACCTTCTCGGTGCCTCCGAAGGTCGACTTTCCGCTGGAACGCCTTGTCGCACAGGCCACACTGGAAGGGCTTGTAGCCGGTGTGCTTCCTCATGTGCGTGATTAGGTTACTGCTCTGGGAGAACGCTTTGCCGCATACCACGCACTTGTGCGGCTTTTCTCCTGAAACGAGAAAAAGAAAGGGGTGGTCAAGTCTCTTGTTACCAGGAGGTCCTGCGACTTAGTTTCGTAAACCACGAGGTACGCAGGTCCAGAGACCTCGGAGATTTAAACGGAAAGCCGAGGCGAGGAAATAAGAAAAGGCGGCGTTTTTTCCCACGGTCAATCATAACTATCAATCGCACCTATCACGCGCACTGTGACTCTCCACAAAAGCGGAATCGATTACGAGCGCCCGTTTGGCCGAGGGGACGGTCGCAATTCTTTGAGGCGAGGCGGGCGCAGACAATGACGCGTCAAGATGGCGGAGTAGATGGCGCGCTCGGACCGCCGATTGGCGCGACTCTCGATTAGTCGCGGCGAACAATGGACGCGATCTGGAATAAAAGGCCCCGCGGCCCCAGTCAACTGCAGCTGAATCAACCGATAAATAATGAAGGCCGCACATCCACCGGCCATAAATTTCGCCCTCGGAAGTCGGCCCGTCGTCGCGCCGTCTTCGTCGTCTTTCCGAGAAGCGCGGCAGCTGCGACGCTGCCGACGCGCGGCCTCGCGGATCAACGTCGGCATCCGTCCCTCATGATCGATGAACCAATTCGATAAGCTCCTTAATCGCGTAATCGATTTCACCTGACGCGACGGGCCCCGACAGAAAGTCCGGGCCCAGTTAGCGCCTCGATGCAAGCCGGCCAATTCTTTTTTCTCTTCAAGAGCTCCCATCCGCCCGGCAATTAACCCGTCCCGCCCTACCTTACCGACTTCTTTGAAGTGCGCTCCCTTTGGACAAATTACGAACGGGGACCGATACTTTTGCACTTCCACGTACGCGAAATAACGATCCAGTAACGACCCAAGATGTTACGTCTTCGGGGCATTTATCTCTTTCTTCGGGCGATAAGTGGGAATTAAATGATTTCGTCGTGTCAATGCAGCTTTCATATTCGCTTCGAAGTGTGCTCCGTTTAGGCGGATTAAAAAACGCGGCCGGCACACTTCTCGTATGCAAAGTAATTATTTGGCGACGAGGCATGATTTTATGTCTTACGGGACATTTTTTTTGCTTTCTTCCTTCGGGTGATGGGAGGGCGAAAAATGGATTTCCGTTGAATTCGTCAGATTTTGAGTAATGCCACACTCACGAAATTACTTTTTTTACGAACCGATTTTAAAGTACATCATAAAGGAAACCTCTTTGACGCCACTTTAATGTCACCTTAAGGTGATGCAAAAGTGACCAGAGAGATTTCGTTTATGAAACTTTTCTTCAAACTGGGTGTATTGAATCGTTTCAAATCTTACAACGTGAATATGAAGGCATTAAGGAAGGTCGTGACACCCGTGAAATCTTTCTTTTTTTCTTTCAATTTGCTGGAAGACATTACCAAAATTTTGTATAAAAAATTAAATTTCATGGGAGTCAGGACCTTCTTTATAGCCTTCACATTCACGGTGTAATGTTTGAAACGTACATTCTGTTTGAAGAAAAGTGTCACGAACGATTGATCCCTCGGATGTCACTTTCACATCCCCTTAACGCAATTGCAATATATCGAAGTGGACGGAAAAGGCATGCGAGGGCGAAAAATGGAATTCCGTTGAAATCGTCAGATTTCGAGTAATACCACCTATTCCTGCCTCGGTCACGACTTCACGGTATTTACGAGGATTCTCGGGAGTCGAGGGCAGAATCGATGGGGACCCCGGTGAATGATTGTTGCAAAACAGGGTCGCGCCATAATTAGTTTACAGAGAATTAACATTAATGGCCGACTTCTCGCTGCGAGGCGAGGCAAACCGCGGAATCGATCCCGGTCATCCTGTGTTTTTTCAGCTGGCATACCTGCCGGGCCGAGGGAAAATACAATTAGCGTAATTGTAAGGGATTACAAGCTTTACGTGGCCGACTTCACACCGAGGACCGCTTTGGCCGAAGTTGTCGCCCCGCTTAAGTAATTGACTTCCCGCAAATTACCCTCATTCTGCAAATTAATTCGATCGCCCGGCCAACTTGCGAAAACCTCCACTCTCGAGCCTTTTCCAAATATCCTTTCAAATCTTTCTTTAAAAAGGAATAATAACGATAGTATGAATTGGTAATCAGAGGGAATTGAAGCACTCATTTTAGAGGGCTAAGTCATCCATGGCATTCGAAGAATTTCAATTTCTGCGATTCTACTGCCGATGTGAAAGGCAGGAGAAAATAAATCAATATTTAATCGGAACTCATCCTAACTTAGGAGTGAATCACCACCGAGTTGGCCAAGATTCAATATTATTCGACTTTTTTCCTTATACGCCTCCCAACTTGGCGAATGCTATCGAGGAAAACATCTGATTTGATTAATTCCTATCGGATAAATATAAAAGATTTAGGGACAAAGCGTGTACACGATTCCGTTAAGCAAACTAAGTGAAGGTGAACATTCGCGTTTCGTGAAAAATCGCGAAATTAGTCAAATATGTATCAGGAAACTCGGTAGAGTTTCGCGCCAAAGTCATGCGCGAATGGCACCGAATACGATAAATATAAAGTATAACTTATTCGATAAATATGAAATATGACTTAGATAACAAGACAATTTTCCGGAGATTCGTTGAGAGCAGCGATTTGCACCATTTGCAAATTCGTTTATTTCCAGCGATTACGCACTTTGCGCAAATGGCATTCCCTGCAAATTGATGTATCGAGTAAAAGCCTCGTTACCCAACGTCGGTCGTTAAGGGAAATGACAAAATGGCGTGTCCAGTTCTGCGATCGCGTAGTAAAGTATTACCGATTGGCATTAATATTTCAAGAGATCGAGCGGAAAGGGTCGGTAAGCCGAGATTACCTAAAATCTACCACGTCAGAGCCGTATTAATCGGTTAACAGACCCCGTGGCAAACTGTCACGCGACTTCCCAGCCCACGTGTCTAGATGTATTAATATATAACATGACCCACGCTCCCACACGGGGAGAAAAACTCCAAAGTTCATTTCCCCTATCCTGCCGTAGATAAAAAACTGACATACGGACGTGTTTTTTTTTTTCTATCTACATTTCCTTCATTTTCCAAACAAGAGAGCTGAGAATAGGGAGATTCTTGTCGGATTCCCCGGAGTGATGTTTGCCGAAGGTGTCGGCGACCTTAGGGGTCGAGATATCGATCGATAAAGTCGCTCATTACGAGTCCCCATGTACGAGGCCTTAAATATTTACCGACCGAGCAGTTTACGTCGCGGCCGATTTTAATGACAGGCTTAGACGCGAATCGTTCGAGTGGATTACCGTGAATTATGGAAGTGGTTCGCTAATGAACGTCGAGCGACAATCGATCTTCGGAGGAATCAAGCAAATGGACGCCATGATCGACCCGCTAACTCTAACGACTTTTCCCGAGGCTCTTTAAACAAATTCCGTGGCATAACACACAGCGCGTTTTTCCCTTCTCGATTTCAGTAAAAAAAGCCGTTTCCGTAATATCGAACGAATTGGAAAGGAAAAAAAAAAAAAGAAGAAGAATCGGTTCCTCGAAGCGTTCCGACGATTTCCCCGTCGCTCGATGAAAACCGCTCTTATTCGTTGAATCGGCGTAACTCGGCGGGAAGTGAGGTTAGGAACGGCGATTTTCAAACTAGCGGGCTTCGATTATTTACGAATAGAGAGGGTTGCCGACCTTCCGCTACTTACGCAGGAACACAGTGCACGCCCGATAATCGGGAAATTGTTTCGGATGAATAATAAAAAGGAGATATACTGAAGGCAGCTGAAGAAGGTAGTTTGCAATAATATGGCGGATCGCAGCTTTCCCGCGGAAACGCCGAGTGATTTCCTAATCGATTGTGCTTCGAGCCTGGGCTCTTTAAAGCGTGTTTATTCGCATCTAGTATATGGATGTGGAGAGCATATATCACGAGTAGGGAGGAAAAGTGAGGTTAGCTCGCAGTCTCCCTTAATTGGCAGGAGAGAAACCCTCGATTCGGGGTAAGAGTGGTGGCGGAGCGAGAGTGAGGTTAATTGCGGATAATATGACAGAGGACTTTTCGCGGGCAACGTAGATATTAATTAGGAACTAATAGCCGCGTTGAGTGGAGGGTCGGAGGGGTGATGATAACCTCCTGGTGGCTCTCCCACGGGAATTATTAATACCAGCTTCGTCCGCAAAAGTCGGAGTGATGTTCGTTTAAGTAACCAGTCCCGAGACGACTTCAGACTCCTTGCCGATTATCGACCCGACGGTGTCGCCACCGCGCGGCGCGGCAAATTTAAACTTTGCACTTTTTTTATTTTCGGCTATTTTCAAATTCTTCAAGCCCCGTTTTGCGATGTTTTCATGGAATTCAGGGTAAGACGAAAAAAAAAGGGGGTTGCGAGGAAAAGAAAACATTGATCTTGTCGCGACTTTATATTTTTTATCGATTATCGCCGGTGTCGCCCCCCACTTTGGGCGCCAAATTTAAACTTCGCTCTTCTTTTCTTCGGGTATCTTCAAATGTTTCAAGCCCCGTTTTGCAATATTTTTATGGAATTCGGTGTTAGACAAAAAAAAGGGTACATCGAAATTGGCATCGGTTAGTATGCAAAGGTGATATTTGTAACGCGTCCCCAGCGACGTCGCTGCCTGTCGGCCATCTTGGAACGCGTTGACGCAACACTCGCGATTTCTATGCACCCGCGCATACGCGACATCGGAATAAATAAAACCTCACTATTGTCGAGCCCCTGGCCCGTTAAAAGGATCGCGCACCTGTCCAGGAAAGAAGGAAAATAAAAGGCACCTTCATTCGCCGACAAGTGTGCGCTTCAAGGTTAAGTTGCGCAACTCGATCTAATTCCCTCTAACGCCATCAATCACCGGATCGAAGCCACGAAAACATTGCTAAGAGGAACACTCTTCGACTTCTTTGAATGTTTACTCTCTCTCTCTCTCTCTCTCCGATGTTATACTTCATGGAAATACTCGGAGGTGTGTCGCTTCTTATCGCCGCCATATTGAATTTCGTTTACGCCCCCCCTTTTTGCTGCACTTATTCGCCGCCCCGCCAGATATGCAGTGCTTAGCTAATTATTTATATTGAAATTTCGTAATTCGTGAAATAAACGTACAGACGAAATCTACTTCAAGGTCAAGTCCATCGGGAATCATTTGCAGCCTCTTTTGTCCGCGCCATGGTCGCCTTTGTCCTTTTACATATTTAACGGCCTAAAAAGTGTCGTGAAAGCGGCGACCGCTAATGTAAGGAGAGCCGGCCGGCGATTTTCTTATGGGGAATCCGCAATTAGTCGACCCCTTTCGACTTAATTAGCCAGCAACACGCACCCTAACGGCTCGTGCCAGCCACGTGGCGCCCCCACGCGCCGCGTGCGCCGCCGGAAGTGCGTTTAGCGCGCACCGACCAGTCCATTTCCCATCGGACCTTCCTTCCGCTCGTCCACGGTGTATGCTCCTCCACATGCCACAGACTGGCAAACTTCCTACCTCTGAATGCCCGTTTGTCTTGATATATGTTTGAATAATCTTGAACCGCCATATTGGTATTAACATTCGTAACAGACTAAAGAACGAGATGGTTTGGAATTTCACCGGGAACAAAGAAACGGAGGGACGCGCGTTTCCGAGGAAAACGTCAGCGAATGACTTGAATTCTCTGTATTAGTTATGAGACACGACGATATCTTGCAACGGCGGTCTTTTAGGTTAGGTTCTTGGCTGACTGTGTGCAATCATGCGGCTTAAAACTCCGCGGATTCGCCGACGATCCGCGTGCTCCCCCTTGTTATTAAAGCGCTACCGTGGGGTCGCCATTTCTAACCCCTTCGACGTGTCTCAATGAGGGGGTTACTCTATGCCGAGGGAGAGAGGAAGAAATAGGAATCGCGTGGTTTGTGAATAAAAAATCGAACCGCGCTGAATCTACGCCGGCAGACGGTTTTAAGTGGCAATCGCGGGGAAAGATGGCCGCCGTCCCGGAGCCTCGCGTCTCGATTCCACCTCGCGTTTTTAAAATGCACTCACGCGGAATCCATCATGAATTCCGTGTTTCTCCCGACGCCATCCTTTTCCACGCGATTGAACGTCTTTAAATATTCACCCGTTTTGAATTTTTACCCAACAAGGATTAAATGCGCCCACCAGTAAACGCTGTACTATAATTATCTCCCGCGGTACGATCCCATCAATGGTCTATTTTCTACGTGGGATTAGTACATATATACATATATGTATATTTCACCGTTCCTTTAACGATACATTCAAGCACACGCAATCACGGTGTATTATAATTGTCCGGTTTATTTAAATTGGACTACCCTCAAACCCGGTATCGATCGATAGGATGCATGATTCACGCGCGCGCGCGTGTCACACAACCCTGTACGTGTCATGGGGATGAGCCCTAAAGTACACGTATGTACTTGCGTGACCGCATTGGTACGTACTTCCATACCGTGACGCCAAATGCGATGCGCTGGTACAAGTTAGTCGTTCTCTTATTATTTCCTTACTCGTTTGATTTTCCAATATTTTAAACATAAAGGCAAATCGTCATCACCGGTAAAAAATAAAACGTCACAATTTGGCTATTTACAATTTTTCGGCACGATGGAATGTACTCGCGTGCTTTCAAATGTTAAGGGAGGGGGGCGACATATTTGTTTATTAAGTCTCCTTTTTAATCGATACGAAGGAAGAGCGCGGCGGCCATTTTGCGTAGATTTAACGAACTAACTTTAACGAGCACGCAATTTGAATAAGTGATAAAACCGTCGTGTCGCCACAAAGAGAGAATCGCTACAAAGTTCGACATTCGACCCTTTCGGGGCGAACTGCGATAATCCGAAGTTGGAGAGCAAACCCTTCGACGAAAGAATGGGTTATACGTATATAGTACGTATATAGCTAGTTAACGTGACGAACTTTTCAATGCGAGTCTCCGAGGGCGTTTTTCTTCCCCGGCAGGTTACTGAATAAACGATGACGAGGCGACAAACGAGCATCATGGCGCCCCCGTCGTCTGCTCGTTTGTGGATAACCTCAAACTCCGAAGGAAAACAGCGCTTCCGTTTGGTGTATTCGGAACAAAGTTTCATCGGTCGTTACCGTCGACGTAACGTTTCATTAGAACATTTATATTGACATCTATCGTTGGACTATTTTTCATCGAAGGATTTAATGCTCATTATAATCATCGAGTTTCTTGATCAGGTGTAATTATTCCCTTTTAATAGGGAATATAATTCACCGTCGCCTTAGGAGTTTGGCTATTGAAGTTGAGTTACTTATGTTTTGTTTAATTATGGGAAAAGAAGGCGTGACTCACCGGTGTGAATGTAGGTGTGCTTCTTCATGTCCGACTTCTGGTGAAACCTTTTGCCGCAGTATTGGCAAGGATAAGGCCTGGTGTCGGAATGAATCAATAAATGAGTGCTCAGGGTGCTGGATCTCTTGAAAGCCTTGCCGCACTGTTTGCACTGCAACCGAAATAAAAGAGGCGACCATATAACCTTCGGCGAACTTCAAGAAGTGAGAAGTGAGCGTAAAGTTCACCGACCGTCTCAGAGAGAAGAAACTCTTTGTTTTCGGAAAGCACGTATTCAATTTCCGTCGGAGCAACCGACGAAGGGTTCGCGAGGAGTCGGTACGTGCCAACGGTGCAGGCCGTTGCGAAAATGGCGCCGCGGCTTTCCGAAATCAATTATCATCGCCTCCCTCGAAAGACTAAATACTTCTATCGGCGGAGATCTTATCGTTCACGGTTGTCGATTAAAAATTTCCAACGATGTGTCCTTTATCTCGCCCAGGAAGCAGTCAAACGCTAATCGAATCCTCGAGGTGGAGCCAATCCGTTACGGCGCAACCGATCGTCCCAGTTTTGCAAAAACATCTTAATTCACAACTGTCATTACCGAATATGATACAATCCTCGCCATACCGCGTTCAGGGAACTCTATTACTTGGTTGAATTTTTCGAAGTGGTGATTACGTGTCCCGGCGCCATGACACCGGGCGCACCTGTATTCACGAATCGTCGTGTTCTCTCCGAGGCATTGTTGCACCAGGCGCCAGCGTTTACAATACCTCCATGAGAAACGTTTGCGGACAATAAAGTGCCCGTTGGAAACTTGCACTGCGGCAGCGAATGTTAATGGAAATGCACTCAAACGTCAAATGACTACAGTCTACAAGGAAAGATCCTTAACAAAAATTAACCTTAAATGCTGTTTCCAAATCTCGCATACCAATTCACCTTCGTGCATAATATTGTTTTTCGTTACCAGGGAATTGCGGATTTTAAGCAGTTCCATTCACTCGTTCGATCAATATTCAAAGCCGTCCCCTACACTAGGGAATAATTCCCGTGATTTCTGCGTAAGATTTCCAGGGGAAATCCCCTAGGGACACGAATGAAAACGAGGCACGAAGGTGGCCATTGTTGTAACTAAATAGCACTTCCGGTGAAGCCAGACAACTGAATTATCCAAAACGTGGTAGTCTCCATTAACAGACCTCGTAATTAACGATAATATCATTAAATAGATATCCAGCGGGTTTTTTTATTACCAATGGAAAAAAAGTTGGACAAATTCGGGATAGAGAAAGATTTCCTTGGGATCTCACGCGCAACTTATTCCCTCTTTAAAAGGCGCGAGAAGACTTGGGAAATCGTCGGGGAGTTATCGGAAAATCGAGGGGCTTATTTAAAAGAAAAAGAAAGAGGGAAAAACGAAATAAAAAGGTTCAAGTCGAGGCAACTTCGAAACGAGGTGGAAGCGGTTTTATGACCGTTCAAGAGAAAGAAGCGCCTCGGTCGAAGCTCCTCTATTTGTCGACCTCGTAAACCGCGAGGTCCCACGCCTACCAAAGAAACGGGCGAATAAAACTAGCAGCTGCAGCTGCAACTGGAGTACGTGCACACACGAATGTCCAGCTACTGCGAATATGGTGGCGCCCTGCCGCGAGATTTCCACGACCGATAACCAAGGCCTTCTTCGAAGAGAGCTCTACGCGCCCATCCTAACTATCGACACTACGGCAACGAGATTGACAAATTATCCTGATGAGATTGCTTCGGAAATTCATTACGAATTAAGCCAGTTAACCATCCTGAGGTATGAAAAGTGCAGCCTTACCTGGAAGGTCCTTTCCGAGGAAGATGGCGGCGTAAGGGGCGAGTGGTGAATTTGCCTGATGACCGTTGGCGTCGCTGTCGTCGGCGGGCTTTTCGTCGAGGAGGGCCTCGTCTCCTTGGCTTCCCTCTCGCAGACTGACCCTGGTGACCAAATCTCGTTTTTCCTAGTGACATTTGACGTCACGTCACTGGGCTTCGTGCTGAGATTTAGCGGCACCTCCTCCTCTTCTGGACCGAACAAGAAGGAGACATTAATAAAAGAGCCATTGAGCGTGTCGCTTACAAGATACGGGCAATTACCCTAAAGTCGATTGGAAATTCCCCGTGACAAATATACGATATCCGCGTTTTGCTCGTGTGCCAGGTGACACAGGTAAAACCCATGGCCGAGAGTGGCTCGGAACCATCGTCACGTGTCCGCGATAGACCGAAAGGATCTTTAATTGGTTTAATTACCGTTCGATAAGGGTATCTGAAAAATGGCCGCGATAAGTCGATGCCGTAACCGGTCGCGCGATGGCGACCTGCTTACTCGTGATATGGTCAGATGGTCTCATTTCCATAAACGAAACCGTAACTAGAGTCGAACGAAATATTTCGCCATTTCCGACATTTGCATGCTAATATGAAACAAAATCCCCATTCTATGATCTACTCTCTGTCGCACCCGTCGCGTTAGATCTAAAAACGTATATTAATCGGTACAAAATTACCGGACTTTGGTTTAGAGGAAACCTTTGAATATTTCATTTCTTTTATATCATTTTCATTACCGATTTTCGCTTTTTCGGGGGTGCACCTCCTGGGCGAGCCCGCCCTGGCCGGGCTAGGGGGTTCCTGGTGAATCGGCGAATGGTTGGCCGACGTGGCGTGGTTCTGGGGAATCCTGGGGGACGGCAGCAACGAATGGGGTAACAAAAGCCCCACGGCATGATGGGCCCACCATGAAAGGCTCCCATTGGGCACCCCCATTGTCCCGTAGCCATTGTACATTAAGCCGCATCGCATCTCTGCAAAAGGAATCATGAAAACATCCCGTTAAGGTGTCATGAAACTGTCACACATGTACCAAAAAATCATTTATAAAACATTTTGTCCAAACAAGCTACGCCAAATAATTTGAAACTTTAACCCATGATTCAGGAGGCCCTAACGAAGGTCTTGAAACTCAGGGAATTTCATTCATTCTTCAAAAGAAACAAATGTATTCATCCCGGACAAGAACCAACTCTTTTTTGTCGAACAATGAAAATTCGTGAGTTCAAGACGTTCATTAGGACCTCCATAAATCATGTGTTACAGTTTCAGATTATTCGGGTGCATCCAGTTTGGAGAAAAGTTTCATAAACGTTCTCACGTTTCGATATATATANATATTCATATCACTTCAATGCCCGACACCCGACGCTGCAAGTTTCTCGTACAAAGTAAATGTAATTGACTCGACACTTTACAAAGTCTCCATATAAACGGGTATGTCTGACTTATCGTAACATCAAATTATTTGGTTGTTCGTTTAAAGGATAATTCGAAAGAAGTATCGGAAATCCGTGACGGATGAGAACGTACCTCGTGCGGCTGCACTTGCCGGCAGAGTGAAATTCTGCAATCGCAGATCAGGACTGTAATTCGACACGAGAGTGAAGGCGCTAAGCCGATCCGGGACTGGCTGGCCGAAGCCGCTAGAGGCAGTGCTCCCGGAACTGCTTCCGGGACATCCGGGACTCCAGGGGGAAGTCGGGAGGACGTTGGGACTGCTCGGGGGCGACAGGGTCGCGGGGGGCGACAACGCCCCCGCCGGAACTCCCAGACTGCAGTGTAGTTCCGGTTTCATGTACCAGGTTCGCGGTACCGCTTCTAAAGGATTCGAAATTAAAGGTTCATCAACAAGGCAACTTGCAATTAACCCTAAGTTTACACGACGCGTCATTTTGACGCATTTCGCGTTTCACGAGGAACATGACAAAAACCGTTCGCATCTTTTCATTTACCACGTGCACTGACTTTTATTCATTTAACGAGGGAGATATATACATATCGAAGTTCATTTTCATTAAAAGTTATGTAATACTGAAATCTTAACACGTTTAATTAAGAAAATATATGTTTACGTTCATGGGTCAAATAGTCGCTTCTCCGTAGTGGTAGGTATATAAGAAATGTCCGTAAACCTCGTGTTAAAAATCTACGACCGAAAGAATGATCAATCCAAGACTATAACGACCCATTATTGAAAACTAAGTACTACCTCCACGTAGTAAAGAAAAAGACAAGACTTTTCCTCTGTGTTTCGTCCATTTATAATATTCATTCACGTTATTTGTAGCGACACTACGATAATAAACGGTAATAAGTGTAATTCGGTAGGACCGAAATAATATTAATAAACGGCGATCTGTGACAATAAGGTCAGGAGGAGACACGGAGGAACAGACGGCTCCGACATGCTTACAGGAGGAAGATCGATGCGCCGACCGGCACGCACCGGTCGCGGCGGCCGGTCGTGCAACCCTGTACTTATCCGTGTCACGAAAGCGACGCGATGCGCGCACACGGTGGCAACGCGTGCGCATAGGCCGCGCGCATGAGTGGCGCGGGTGCGCATAGGCCGCGCGCGCCATTCGCGCGCCGACGCGCAGCGCGGGCGCACGTGTCGCGCTACGCTGCGCTGCGCTTCGTGCGTAACGTGCGTGAGGCCACGTGCGAAAACAGAGACGGGAGATGCTATCGCGGTGGAAATCGACGTGATTGCTCGACGAAGCTCCTCCGTCACGGAAATCACGCGACGGAGCCCGAGATATAAATGCCTGGTTAAGAGCGATCGATCCTTCGCTATCGAAATCTCGGACGGCAGGAAATGCGAGAACGAATTAGGGCATCGAAAATTCGACGTTTAAAAAAAAAAAGAAACAAAACGCGCTCGAAGGTAGACTGAGAGGTTAGGTTTAATTGCACCGAAACGAGAATAGCTTTCGTTACCTTGAAAGAGTGGGCGTTTTTGTTTCTGTTTTAGACAGATATCGAGGGTAATCTATGGTCATTATTGCTGATTACTCGGAATTGTGGTGATACCCTTGCGAAACGCGAGAAATATTTAAAAACGGTTAGTGGGAGGATTAAGAGCCAGAAATCCGACGAGGATTATAATGGCGGAATGTAATGGCGTGTCTGAAAAATTATAGGACGTACTTATTTATAGTACCGCGTTGATAAAAAAAAAAATAGATACAACCCGGTGACTTTTTTCTCTTCTTTTTTCATAATTTTTATTTTGTATTTAGAGATGGATCGGACGTGAAATTGGAATCATCTCTTTGTCCGCGACACCGGGAGGCTGGTTTATTTTGGGAAATCACGCAATCCCGATTTACTGATTTCATACGAAAAATTCAAGCCGGCATCACCGACCTTCCGAGCATTGTTTGAACAACTGTCGAAACAGGGAGGTCCGGATGCCGGGATTCTTCCATCACCTCGATATATCCGTACTTGCGGATAGTTGTCCCCAAATACCGATTTGTTGGTGACACCAGGTGAGGCGGGCCGTGTTAATCCTTATTTGTCCAATTAACTCATCTCATTATGACGCTTAACACTTTTCTCCTGTTTTCGACGCGATTTGCCCCACCAAAGAAGAGGAACTATGAATGAACATCTGCAAACTAACCTAACCTCAAATCCACCCGCTTATCTTTACATAACATAGTGCCTTGTTTTTCTTTCTATTTCCTTCGGTAATTATTTATTAATTTGATTTTTTTTTTCTATGGCAATTAATTGCAAATGATCCGAGTTCTAAGTCTACTATTATCGATTCATAGCATGGCGAAACCTGAGGAGATATTATCATTTGTCAAATTAATACATCACGATGTTATGTTTAATGGTTTTTCCTCGTTTTGGCAAACTGTCAGGAAGATGAACGAGCAGCAAAGAGACGTCAAGTACCGACGTCAAAGAGAGTCAACAAAGAAAGTCAAGATGATGCTGTGAATGGAGCTATGTTTACTTCTCTTCTTCTTCTTCTTTTTTTCTTTTTACCTAAGTGAGAATATATTCGCGACTTCGGATTTAATCACGAGGATCGTTTCTAAACATCTCATGTAACAAGATATTAATTAATTATAATCTGCCCGTGTCGGTTTTGGTTATCTTGAAACTCGCGTGTTTAAAATGTCGACTTAAGGATGACAACCGATTTATAAATTCGCGTTTATCCAGCCACCTTTATTTGCAGATGCCATTCGACACTAAGCAGTGTTTAACGTTTTTGCCTAATTCGCGCTCTATGTTATCGGATAGATAAATGGACAACAAAGAGTGGCAAGTGCGAAATTAAGGAAAGTCAACAGTTAACATGAATGAACGAACTTCCACTTCTGGTGAAGTAACCACGGCCGATGGCAAAATCTGTCTACACACGGAACTTGTTTATTTGCTCGAGTAGTAAGCGAACATTAATTAACAGACCTTATGAAAATATTAGACAGTTGAGACGGTGTAATTCTTTTTTTTTTTTGGTACAGGTCTGGCTCCTCAGACTGGAGAAAAGATGGTTATAAATTAATTCCCCGTTTTCGAAAACAGGAAGCGTCCACAAAACTACGCAGAAAAAATTAAGAATGAAGAGCGTCAATCTTGTGAAATCTGATTGCCGCTTCACTTGATAACGAAGTACAAGCTGAACAAATAGGCCAAGACCAACCCAAAGTGGAAACGTACCGCCTCGGTGTTTACGAGGGTAATCCCAATTTCGACAATAATCGAAATTTCTCAGCGATCGGAGTTTATCGCTCCACATGTCGACACGAGGAAAACTGATCTACTCATCTATGAACGTACTTGACATTAATTCTCAAGAATAATCGAGCTCGCGTTTCGGGTCAATACCTAAAGTACACTGCCAAAAAAAAAACACCACACCAAAATCGAATCTCTACCTTTATACTTACTTTCCGATTTTAATTCAGGGTCCATATTTTCTTTACGCGAATAATGAATTTCGAAACCGAAGCCCGATTCGTCGAAAAGACGTGTCTATGTATATATATCTCCAATTCGATTTAATATTAATTTTTTTTATAGGCCCTTTTTAAACACCGCATTTCAACAACCCCGAAATATCAAGTTAATTGGTCAAACCGAGTGAAATCAATTTGAAATTGCGTTTTTATTTTTTCCCTGAAAAGTGGTTTCAAGAACCAATAGCCCGAAGTTAGAACGTCTTATATATATGTTCCCCGCGAAGTTGGCGGTAATGCACTTATTATTTTTTTTTTAATAAAAAGGGACAAAGCGGAAGAAATATAATAAACCGGAAATTTACCGCACATTACGGCCCAGTCTTCCGTCTTCCTCGCTAGAACTTCCTCGGCAGGGGCATCGAGAAGTCGCCAGGTCGCGTCCCCCGTAATGCACTTCGGGCTGCAGCTGCAGGTGTCACTTCACCGTACGCGCCGGCGCAACGCGCAGGTGCGAACTTCCGCGAAGTGCCCGGTGTCACGTGACCGCGGCCTCGCGATCCAATGAAGGTCGCCGCGATTCCAAGGCCTCGCCTCGCCTTCCGGTCCGACACCTCGTCAGCTACTCTCGGCCACGTGGTCGCACTTCATTCTCAAGGCGACATCTGCCGCGAAAACATGGAGTACCGCGAAAACCTCGAACACTTCTCCGAAATGAAGCGTCAATCCTCGAAGTAAAAGCGTATGACTGACCGATGAACGTCCCTCCTAAAAAGACGTCTTTTAGATGTTCTATGGACGATCTTGGACCCCAAACAATAATCCGAAATATCTCAAAGGACTAATCCAGATTGGAAGTTGATCGAAACCTCTTAGGACAGGTTCAGGACGATGAATATCCTCCGACAAGTCGACGACGCGTATTGAAAAAAAAAAAAAACGATAAAGCAGATCGCTTTTGGTCGATATCCTTCAAGTTTAGCGATAACGAGTATCCAGAGATAACTTCAAGTTTTTGGATATCCAGCTGCTCCTCCAGGATAAGATGTCCAGGAAGTTGGGTCTCTTGGGTCCGGACGTGGTCCGATGTCGTCTGATATCTCGCGATGGCCGAGATCGATTCTTCGATTAGTCCGTGCTTTTTGATATATCTTGCAGGGCCCAGTAAAAGATAGGTGAAGTACGAGTATCCAATGTTTCCGCACGGAAGGGTCCTTCGGATATCCTGGGATACCTTCGGTGTTCGCCGGTGACACGTGACTGTCCCGATCGAGAGCAGGACCCTGACTGACCGGGCAACTGTCGGCCGAAGAGGATCGCGCGTGGTGCTTCTGCTTCCCTTACCTGTCCGCCACCTCTGCATGCTCTACCTGGGGTACCTTCAGGCTCCGCCCATCTAGGTATAATGGGTGTCCAGGGGTGGGGATGATATCATCCCACGTGACTCGGTCTAGTCGAGATCGGAAAGCCGACCCGACCGCGATCCTCCAATCCGGTAGCGGTCACTCCTCGTTCCTGTCGCGGAGGAAGGAGATCCGTACGCGGAAAACGCGCGTCACTTCTGCGACATGATATTCTCTAATATTTCCCCCCCCCCATAAATTAAATCATCATGCGTACTCATTTCTAATCCTCTAATTAGAATCTCTCCGTACCCGAAGTCTTACCAATAAATATACAATACCCTTCGATATTAATTAAAGAAGGAAATTAAACAATAATCCTTTACAGCCGTCGTTTATTTCTTGCGGTACATTTTTATAGAGTCTTATCGTACAATTTTCGTGGTTGAAAAACGCATCTCGGCGGTTTCTATTCGCCGTGGGGCAAAATCGATGAGGTGCGTGCTGCTATGTCTTATCTGCGCATCTAAACTGTCCGTATGTCGCGCATGCGCATTGCTGCGGGGGGGGATTCGATTGGGCGAGGGCGTCTCGCGTGGCGTCTGCGTCGTAAGTCTTCTCCGATTGGTCGCCTACCCGGGAGGGGTCCACCTCCACAACCCGAGATCGTGCTCTAGGAGAAACTAGAGGGATCCAACTGGGAGTCCCCTTCGGATTGCTCGAGGCTGCGGCGAATCATAAAATCCCCTCGCCCCGGTTCCCCCACTCGCGTTCGTGATATAACTTCCCGCGACTCACCACGCGCAGGAACTACAGACACCAGAAACTTGCCAGATGCATTCTCGACAAAACAATTTTAAATAAATATTTGCAACGATCTGTAACTTTAAATACGAAAAATTATCGAGGAACCTGTATTAAGGGGATGTGAATGTCGCGTCAATGAGGTTTTTCTCCGAACTGGGTTTACCAAATCGTTTCCAACTTTACAATGTGAATATGGAGACTAGGAGGCAAGTCCTGATACTCATGAAATTTCAATTTTTTTTTTTAATTTGTTCATAGGTATTTTTTAAATATATAAGAATTGAAATTTCACGAGTGTGAGGACCTTCTTTACAAACTCCATATTCACACGTACAATTTTTAACGATTCGTTACACCCAATTCAGCGAAAAGTTTCATGAACGATCGGCCCCTCAATTGCCACTTTCACATCCCCTTAATCTGCATGCAAACGATAACGTCTGAATGTATTCAACTACCAAATGACTTTTATAAATAATGTTCAATTTCTAATATAAAAAATTGTCCAGGAAGTTTCATTGAAATAAGCGTTGGTATACTAGGGGAAAAAAAAAGAAGAAAAACATTGTACCGAACCAAAGAAATATTTTTATTAACTTAAAGAATTTAACTCCGATGAAATCGAATATTATGACAATTTATTTCGGCAATTGTTCTTTGAATTAAAAATATAATTCTTTGGCTCGAAGAGTTTCTTTTTTCCTCGGGGTAGGTGTTAATGGTTTTCAGAGTTCTTTTATGATTTCGAGTGTTATCATTTTTAGAATAGGTCTGTAATTAGTTTGTATATAGCGACAAGTATTATCGAGTCGCACTTGCGCAATTAATCTTTTGTTCTTCCCTCGCGCCTTCGATTTTACCGCAATTGCCTGCTTATTATTACGTAATTCGTGTGTGCATTTCCTCGAGCACGTATCGAACCTTTCCGGTCGCGATCGATAATCACCGGTGGTAAACGCGATTATCGTTATTACTGCGCCATTACCGGCCAAGGTAATGCCATACCGGCATGCAGTTGCAGCTGTAAATTAACGCGGTACTCCGCCAGCTACTCGCGTGTGAGTACGCGAATTATTCGCTGGATCGTCCTTCTTTTCTTTTGTCGCGACCATCGCGTCGAATAAATGCACATCTCACCAGTGGCGGAAAAATTGAGGTTATGGCGGAGGATCCGGCAATTTCGCGAAGGTTCTAACCTAACAATGGCTCCCTCGCGGTGGCCGAAGGTTAACAATGCAACGGCCCGATTACCATAGCAATAGCCGATGAATAGTGGAAAACTGGGATAACAGCTGCGGAAACAATGGCGACTATCGCTTTCCCTTCTTTTCCGCATGCCTCCATTTTGATCGAGACTTACGAAAGCAGCGTGAAAACCCGATATTCATGAGACCGATAATTACATTTCCTACCGTAAAAATCAATGACTTATAGCCCAACCTTATTACCGACAACGGAAGTTAATTATATCCAAAATGGAGCCTTAGTTAATTCGTCGTTGAAACAAGACATATTGAACGTTTTATTGCAAAACAGATATCAATGGTTTTTCATTTCATTATAATAATACATTTTATTGTTTCTCGGAAGAATTACAATTTTCTTCTTGCAGTCAAAAGCTGCCTGCTATGCTGCGACTCGTTTCAAAGTATTTCCCACTGAGAGCTCGGGTAAATTCTACTTTTTTTCTTTCTCCTTCTTTCTTTCAAGAAACTCAGTATTTTTAAGCAATTAGTCCGCGTGATGTCACTCTAGGTACGATAAGTACCGGTTTGCTTCGGAAATTATGCGGCGCAGGTGACGTCGGTGATTGGTCGATCATGGAAAACGCCGATTATCGGCGCATTTTGCGCGAAACAAGCCAATCGGCGCCGATATCGATAAACGCGGTAATTGTGGCACGCTCGGTTAAAAATAAAGAAACAGTCCAGATGAACGAACTGCGGCGAGTTTCGTTCGTAATACAGGCAAAACCAAGATGGCGGCGCGTCGGCTTTCGACGGCCTTCGGCGCCGCGAAGAATGCGTCGTTTTTGCAGTTGCAGCTGCGGCGTCATATCAATCGGTGATCGGGTAAAATAAGGCGCGACGAAGATATGGCGTTCGTCCCTTTCGACCGAAATCCTGGGCGAAACCGCGTGTTGAATTTTTACTCGTGGAGTATCGGGGTACCAAGATGGCGGCCTCACCTCTGGCGTCCTCACCGCGGGGAAAAGTGAAATTCGCCGACACAGATCCCACGATTTCGAGCGTTTAGCGCCTTTGTCGCAATTCCAGAGCAAGGGGGGAAAAGCGGGACAAGAGGAAGAAGGAGTCGCCCGATAGGCCACTCGATAATCAAAGGGAAGGGAGAGTATGTCGTGCGTTCTCGCGTACTCTCATTACGTCCGGCCGGACCTTTGTGGAGCGTTTCTGTGCCGCCAAACCATAAATGGGATTTCCTCCAGGTCTCGCTTCCATTCAACGGAGGATGCAAACGCGAAATCTCTCGCCTTGAGGATCTTTCCTCTAGACACGCGAACCTTCATTACCCTCTCTCGTCCTGCCTTTATTACGTGCAGGTTCCTTCTCTCTTTCTTCCTTTTCCTTTTCTTCTTTTTCTGCCGACGTGGCATACGCTCCGCTTTTGCCGTTTCGTAACACCGGAAGTAGGCCAAACGGTACATCGGAATCGAGGCGTTAATCGCGTCCGAACAGTCGGTGAGGCCGGCTTCCGTAATTACGTGCAAACCTGCAGACGACGCTTTAACTCGTTCGTCCTAACCGCCGAAGACTTCCTGAAAAACTGCACAAGAGAGAACAACAGATATTGGCTTTCGACGGCATACGACGACGCGAAGGATGCGACGGTTTTTGCAGTTGCAACTGCGCGTTATATCAATTGACGATCGGGTAAAATGAAGTTGAACGAAAATGGCGTTCAATTCTTACTCCCGAGGTGTTGGCATACCAAGATGGCGTCCTCACCTCACGAATGTACGATATACGCGACTTATAACTCACCCACTCTTCTGATATCCTTATAAAAACAAAGAAGAGGAACGATCATTTCATCCTCTCGCAATATTTCTTGGTGAGAAAAACAAAAAGAGTTAATTGACTGAAACCCGCATCGACAACAAAATGCGATGAAATATGCGTAAAAAAAAAGAAATTGCGTAAGAAAAATTCGTTAAAAATACGTTAATTTTTCTTCTCAACAAAATAATTTTACCTTGCAATTGAATATGATTCAGGCAACGATATATATGTCGACAGTGTATCTTTTTCCTCAGTGTACGCGAAATGGGGAGGAAACGGCCCGTCTTCTCTCTTCCATC